ATCACGAGCGTGACTATTTGTTTATTGCGGCTGCATTCAATCGCATCTACTTCCCCAGCGGTTTCATTTCAGACCTCGCGTCTCTAAATCGACAACATGATAACAGAACAACTCTGCAGTCAGAGTTTTCGCTTGTCACTATTTTTTAATAAAATTGGTTAAAGTTGAGCAACAGCCCCGGGGCTTCTGGGAGCCGAGCCACCGAGAGCGTCCTGCAGGGACTAATATCCGTCATATTAGACCACCATATTGAGAGCAGTGCGACTTGTTCGTCGTCTGCGAAGGCTGAGGAACTCCCCGCAGTCCCTGAACTGTTGTGTTTGGGTGTTGAGTGCCTGACGGCACACAGATAATTCTCTTCACTTTATTAGCTTTAATCAAACAGAGGAGGAAAGAAAAGAAGTATCGAGTTCTAGAAGTAAACCCTGCGCCGCTGAGCCTCAGGCAATATAAGTGTTAACAGCGATTTATGTTGCATTCCTGATTAGGATGTGTAGGACAAGAAATATAATCTTATAGCCGAAAATGTATTCATAATCATGATGGATGTGTTCAGAACCTACTGCCACACGATACACATCAGCAAGAGAGAAGGAGCAAGTATGGAGTTGTGTGTGTGTGTGTGTGTGTGTGTGTGTGTGTGTGTGTGTGTGGGGGGTGCTGTATCACCCTGACGTGGCCTCCTCTCTCCTGACTACGAGGCCACAGTGGCCGCTGTGGTCAACCCTCAAACAGCCGGGATGTGGATATAGAAATATAGCCGACCACGCATCCAGTATCAGATTACGGAGCTGTTGGCAGTCTTGACTTCAATCATTAGAAGGATGGAAACACTAACTGGTCCCATGTTTGGCGGTTTTGGAAACTCTTTTGCTGACAGATTATGTCAAAGGCGGAAAGTTTAGGAAAGAAAATCAAGAGACAATGCCAACTCCTCCTGGCCTCTACAGTTGTGTGTGGATGGATGGATGGATGATGGAATGGCACATGAGTGAAGCAGAAGGATGTAGACACGTGGACAAAAAGAGAGAGATATTGGCAATGTGATCAAACCAGACGGATTAGGTACCAGCAAGGACAAACTCTCTAGAAACACCAGATTACAATTTGTCTTGAACACACAGGGAAATGGGTTGTACCTGTGTTAAATGTGACTCACATGCACACAAGAGTTTTCCTGTGTGTGTGTGTGTGTGTGTGTGTGTGTGTGTGTGTGTGTGTGTGTGTGTTTTCAATCTCTGCGCAGCGCCCCGTGCTACGAAGGCAAACGCTGCCCCCTCAGCCGTTAAACAAGCCTGCACAGCAGAGGCGGGAGCGTTTGTTTAGAACCAGGCTTTAGCTATCTTGCGGTCAGATTGCATACTTAATCAACGTGGTCATGGAAATTTCCAAAAAGACGCTATGACCGCACTCTTGTGCGCTTCGCTTTTGCTCCCATATTGTTCTCTCTGGTGTTCCCTCTTTCTTTTTGCCTCCGTTTTTCTGCTTAATGGATTCTCACTTTTGTTTCTGGTTTTTTTTCCTCCAGATTTCTTTACAGCTTACAGGAGAGCAGAGCTGAAACTAAACTTAGCGAGTCTAACTTTAAAAAGGCAACACAAGTAAGATTTACACCTTTTCAAAGATCAACAAGTCATTCATTCACTCCCTCTTTTTTTATAATGCGAACACGGAGGCCTGGTACGATGTGTGTGGTGAGAAGACCTTCACCTATACAACATGATGTAACTCAAAACCAATGCCTCCAAATATGGAACAATCACTTCCATTCACTCACGTCAACTTCAGATGAACCCAACGCTTGACCCTAAACTCTGATGCTGGTTAATTTGCACACGTACGACAAGTTAACCCTCCCCACTTTCTATACACATTCAACCCAGTTAGAGGGGGTTGAGTGATGACACATAATGATAGAAAATAGGATATATTATAAAACTACAAAGTCTCTCTGTAGTCATTCCCCTCTTTCTCCCTTTCTCTATTGTTTACATTCCAGAGCTGTGTTTAACACTGAAGGATCCTCCCCCTTCATGTGTGGGCTCAGAGAGAGTGTGTGTGTGTGTGTGTGTGTGGGTGTGCGTGTACACGTATATACACGCAGCATGTGCCCCAACATGTGGATGACATAAACAGTGGAGCAGAGTGTGTGGGGATGTGCTCGGAGCTTCTATACATTCAGGAAACAAAGTCACAACACACTTTGCTCTCTGCAGCTACAGATGTTTTGTGCTTTGTGGTTAATCAGACTTTGCATTGACCTACGCAGACCTTACATTACCCAGCCCCCCCTCACACTCCCTGCACACTGTCTCACCATGCTGTGTGTATATACCTTCATCCTTCTTTCCCCCTCCCCTCACTCCCTCATTCTCTTTGACTCCCCTGATTGCTAGCGTATGTTGGCTGGCTGGCTGGCTGGCTGGCTAGATGAAGGGGAGGGGGGGTGGTAAGGAGGGAGGAGAGGGAGTAGGGGAGAGAGAGCGAGAGGGAGGAGAGAAGGGGGAAGGGACTGTGCCCTCTCATGCAGAGAGTCACATGGTGTCCCTGATTGGAGGAAAATGAGTAAAGACTGCAGCCCGGCTGAAATGGCAACAGACAAAAACGCACAAAGGCTGAGCTGTTTAGAAACGGGTTGCACAACAAGAGAGCCTGAGGAGGAGGAGGAGGAGGAGGAGGAGGGGAAGAGGGGAAGAGGGGAAGAGAGAGGGAGTGAGCGAGCAGCTACTGAGGAGAGATCAGGATTAAGAGAGAGTTGGAGGAGGAGCAGGGAGGGTGGCAAGAAAGAAAAAATAGGAGAGAAGAGAGGTGACAGAGGAGGGGGGCATAGGAGCCAAGAAAAAAGAGGCAAGTGTGAGATGAGCACCGTAGGGGTGAGAGAGAGAGAGAGAGAGAGAGAGAGAGAGAGAGAGAGAG